GATTTGTATGCACCCAATGAAAGTAGTATTACTAATAATATGAATATCGAAAGAACGTTTAAAATTAAAATTGAGTTTGCACAATGGATGGTAAGCAAGACTTTCTAATAATAAAGCGTTGGGGGTTCAGTTCGTTTTCTATGTTTGTAAACATGGAGAATTGGAGAAAGACAAAACCCTTGAACGAGACTGATATAGCTGTTGCCTCAGCTGGCCCATTAGAAACTGAGTAGGGATGACATTTAAGAATGCGTGTGTAAAACCTAGCTCCCTCTCTCCCCAGAAATAAGCAAAATATTAAAATAGTGCGTAATTAGGACCTACAAAAAACATCCAAGTCACACCTACAACATGTACATTTATCTCTGAAACGCCCTGTATATCTAAGAGCTAAATTGCTAACTGTTATCGTATAACTACTTTTCTTAACTATAAATATACAATTTTGTCACTTGTGTATACATCAACATTTTAAATTTATAAGAAAATTACTGGTTATTAAAACCATAAAATTATTTTAAGGCGCCATATTGTTCGCTGATGGTGGGATAAATACGTTTGTGAAAATCTGTGGCACTATTAGTTTTCCTTGACTCACTTAATATCAAATATCCCTCGTCTTAAGTTACAATTCTTCTAGATATTTCAATAGCTATCGCGAAATGTAATTAAAGGCAAATAAAACGATTCTGTGTCAATAAATTTCTGCAATACCGCAAACCTATTCTTAACAACTACCCGAAGAATCCTGACATGTCGACGTATTGCATACACTGTACGCTTAGAAATTCTGACTATGCCGCTATGACAACCAAATCTCCCATCGTCTCAGAAAATTCAAATGTTCCACCCTCGCCAACAATTTGGCTTTACAATTCTACCGACTGGAATGAATCCAGGGAATTCTTTTCATTGTTTACATGGATTAAATCTTATTTTGTTAACAGATTTTATTAAGCTATTACTGAAACTATTCACGCTGGAATTAAAGCGAATATGAGTTCTTTTACTACGATAGGTCTACACTGCACCATACGACATGTCAGATAACTAAATATTAGATAGTGTAGAATCCTATAATTCACAGGGGGTAACCATGCAGGTATGGGGGTAATTACATCACAACTTTTCTCTTTTTGTTATAGTTTAGGTATATATTTAAATAACTAATAAATACGGACCTGTTTATGGCGTTATAAAATTGTTACCACCCATTACAACGTAAAAACTATGGAGTGGTTCCTCTACACTCTACACTCCATAGTAAAAACATAGTTACTAATTATGATGTCTATGGTAAAAACTCCATAGTAAAAAAACTACTCTTTTTTTATTAAAATGGAAGTGACCTCAGATAAACAAATGAATAATAGATAAGTAACGGTCTGGATGTGTTTGAAGCTAATATGAACCGTTTTATCTATTACTTTCTCTTTCTTCCTGGTCTTTGATGTGATTCGTCTATTTTAAATACCAGCGCCAATTACTCACAACTGTCAACAAGCATTTGGGAACTGTCAGTTTTGTTTGTACATTTTTTGTGATTTTATTTTCCCAGGGCATATTTTTAAAGTTTTTAGAGTGTCTAGAATGTTTTTTTAACGAATTTTGTTAGTTGTTAGTCTAAAAATTATTATTCAGTGTTTGTTTGTCCTAAAACAAATTTGGAGAAGTTCTACTTCGTTTCAAAGGTAAGTAAATAAAACACATGGGCGGTACACCTATATTGTAAAATATTATTAGTATTTTTTACGCAGGTTTCTTACAAACTGAAGCAATGGAAATTTGTATTCAAATCCTAGAATTAGAGAAGGTTGAAGTTGATAAAATTAACATAAATTGGAAATGTAAAATATATTGGAAACATTTTATATTATTTTGTTATGAATTCTGCTGGAAAAGACGAATTTAAATCTGGAAGCAATTCCTATTTTATTCACTTCTCAACTTGGTCCGTCTTCAAGTAAGTTATAATAATATTATGTAATACAATGCCTAATACAAATTTTTCATACATTATAAACTTTGAGATTAAATTTAAAAAATAAATGCTATATTGTATTCTCCTAGACAAAGTAAAATAAATCTCAGTGCTTTCTGGAAAGAAAACATTTTATGAAAATATAAACTATTCCAAAGTGTTTCTTTTTTCTTAGTAATGAAATGAATTATACTTATAGAATGATTATGTTGTAAATATTTTATAATTCTTTTTAGGGAAAATTTACTTCCTAGTGAATGTAGTGAAAGACAGAGTCTAGAAGAGATTTATAATTATAATATGCACATACTGGATCAGAAAATTTAAGTTGTTCCACCGACATTGCTCCAGAAGCTATAGAATAGGTTATTCAAATTATAAAGAAGACATCTATAAAAATACCCAAATTCAGAGACAAAAAGTTATGCTAAAAATAATAGATACATTTAAAAATGCCTGTTTTAAAAAAAATATTTGTCACATCATTTTAGAGATTATTAAAATATCTAAAATTCCGAAAACTTTAAAAAACCTGTTAAAAGTTTATAAATGAGAAGTGTGTTAATCTAGAACAAGTCAAAGGGGGTTATTTTCTAAGTTTCAGCTGAAAATGCATATCAATGAAAGCGCCAAGCAGACTTCTCAACAAAGTTCGATCACCAAAACGACAAGCATGTGATTATGGTATTCTCAGGCTGAAGGACTTCGGTCGATGGCCAGTTGGTTATGCCAATAAAGTACGTCTCAAATGCTAGACGATTTTGCTATTCGTATGTGATTTTAATTTTTGTTGTAATCTGTCATAATATAAATCGTAAATGCTGATTTGTCTAAATATCTAAGGTTAGTATTTGAATGTCATTTTGACATTATTACAATTATAAACTCAATTAGAATATATTAAGGCCAATTTCAGAATTGTAAGGAATCATAAACAATAAACATCATATATTTGCTGACATTTTAATATTCAAGTCATAATATTTAGATATATATTTTAATGTTTGACTTATCTACTTCTAAAAATAAACTTTTTTGAATGCGCTTTACTTTTTTCAAATACGAACAACACAACAAGTAGAGAATACCAAAACGTTTGTGTTTTACACTTTTGCTAGTTGTCGCGTTTATGGAGGGAGCTTTCAAAAATGCTGGTTAGACAATAAGCCCCCGTTTTAACTCAGCGAAGTAGAAGGTTTCTGTCTAGAATATCTGTCAATATTCGCTTCTAACATATTTATTTAAGAGACCAAAAATTACATGAGTTGAAATGCATCAGAAGCAGTTGAGGTACCTATGTATCTAGTATGAAACTAAAAATAATTCAATTTGGTGACATACATTTAAATATAATATGTAGCCCATGCACAACTTCGGTTCCTATGGGATTTCCATTATATTTCTTTGAAAATAGACACTCCACTAACCAATTTTGGCCTTTTTTTATTTATAATTACCACCTTTGATACTTTTATATTGTATTTTTTTAATAATTTTATATTGAAATTTTATAATTTAATTATTGTATTGTTTTTCAATTTGCGTTAATTGTATGTTAATACATTTTTGGATGAAGCTTAATTGAGTCATATATAAAACATTTTTATCACACACAAGTTGTACATACACAAAATTTAATTTATGTGATTTATTAGAATACAGGAGGTTTTTCAGACATACATACCATGTAGGAATAAACTAGCTAGATACTGGCGTCAAATATCTGGAATTATTAATAATTGCTCTCGTGAAAAATGAATGCATGATACGGATTTTCTATTCTTACATAAGTTGTTAAATGGATGTAATATTACTTGCCAGAAGTTACTTGGCTTCGGCCGTAAATTTCTGATTCGGCCGTAAAAGATCAACTCGATACTTACAGCCTTTGGTACACAAATATCTATTTTAAATCTATAAATGTCATTAAAAATTTATGAAAAATGTATTTCTCATCTATAAAATTGTTATTTATGATAAAGAAATATTTTAGTTTACAAGAACAAATATAAAACCTGAATCGATAACAAATCAATGAAAATGTTGCTAGAGTTGGGGACATTTTTATGGAAAATTGTAATGTTACTATTTTACTAATAAAGCTACAGTTAATTTATCTTAGCATTTTATTTAAATATAAATATATTATCCGAATAAAATTAATGCCGCTAGTCAAGGTTTAAAGGCCTCGTCACTTCAAACTTTCTATGCTTCTAGTTTATATGTTTGTAAACAGATATCTATTGTTTCTATTAGGCTTAACAGTCTCCATTAGATCTTTCTTGGAACAAGATTACAGACTATAAAGGTAAGTTTCAACAAATTTATAGATTGGTGTCTATCCATTATAAATTACTTTCAAAGCTTATAATATGTTTGTTTATTCTTAAGAAATGATAAAATCTATCACATATCTTTTTATTTATATTTTTAAAAATAAGTTACTGCCTTAATTCCTATTTTTTGACATCCCTCGTATATGCTAAATAAATTTAAATTTATCACTTCAAGTGGTAAGAATGCTACCTTTAGGTATATAAGGGAAAAGTAAATTGGATTTTTTTTATTGTTGAGTTTCAGAAATATTAATTTCTCCTGGTTTTAAAATAAGATGAAATGATTAAAACGGACCTGCAAAGGCACCAATCTCACCAGTCTTCATGTGACCTAATGGGTAAATTCAGTTTGGCTTACTTTTTATTTTATATATACAGTTTACTGATATCTACCTATAAACAATATTAACAGTGTAATTATTTGAATTATAAGTAGGTATCATTTATTACATTTGAATAAAAAATAGAAATTAAATTTTTGTAAAATGAAATTTTATGCATGAGTTGCATTGTTCTTTAAATTTGTTATTGACAAAATATTTACAAAAGAATGCTTTGGGTTCTGATGAAAAAACTATTTGATACGCCCATGGGGACCACGGCTGTCAAAAGTTCGTAGATACTGGCTTCAAACAAAGCCTATGTAAAACTGCGCCCGTAACACATCTATATTTCATTTGTTTATCTGAGGAAGTGACAACTATATGACAACATTAATCCGTCTACTTGACAAATTAATTTCTGAACACAGTTAATACCAATACAATTTTATTAAAAACAAATTCTCCATGTCTAAGTAATGCGTTAAAATCAACATTTTGTCAAACATCAATCGCTATCATATTCTAAGCACCGTCATTATCCCCCTTATGTGTTTGGCAAACAAAATTTCCGTATCTGACGTTGAAAAATGAGCGTAAATGAGTCCGGCTGTGTCTTCCAATTTTCTTGAGAAATGGAAGAAGTCAACCATTGGACAACTGTTGTGAAATGTAACCTTTGTGGAGAGATACCGAGAAACGCCCCTTTGTACCATTGCCCTCTGCAGCATCAATATTGCATCGATTGTTACACGGATCTTAAGCGTAGGTACAGGGGCTATCTTAAAAGTGGAGCTACTTGTGTCATTTGTAAGATTTCTGGGGTGTTCACTCAGAGCAACATAAATACGCATTTTTTGAATAAGATTAAGGCCAAACCGGGGATCGGAAGACCGTACAGGTACAATGCTAATCAGATAGTCAGTGGAAAAGGATGCACTAACAACTTTAGCAGGTAAAATATTTTTAATCGTAAGAAAATATCCAAAAATGTACGGGTTTTGAGCAATACACAGTAATATGACTAATTATATCTAAAAATCTGTTTTCTGCTTAATTTTATATAGCAGAAACATTGTGCTTCTATTTCATCCAATTTATTTTTCGTCTTATCCTACTCATGTATTTTAATTTGACATTTTCTCTTCGGATAAAAGTTTGCTACTTGGGATTCGTGGACAGATTATAAACCAATTATATTTTTTGCATTCCAGAATAGAAACTAAAGAACAAGACAGAGAAAATATAACAATAGAAGGTTTATTCCAGCTCCCAACTGAAGATTTGAAACGACTTTTAGGCAGAAAGAACGGTTATAGTACCCCGTTTACCACAAAAGAACCACAACCATTAGGTATAATTCCTAAAGCAAACTCTCGCAACTTACCCTCCCATCAATCGAAAATCCCCATAAAGTGTCCTCACAAATTTTGCAAGAAAGTAGTGGCACCTTCAACGTTCGTTACCCATTTCAAACATGAACATTCAACCATTCCTAAATACTCAGTTGAAAGAGGCAAAGAATTGTGCATTCCCTGCGACGTTTCCATTATAGAACACTACAGTAACTTTTGTCTAGCTATGATTACAGTGTACGAATTCAACAAAATTGATGTGAAACACTCCCACAGCTCGCAGAGCGTTATTAAAACCTGCGGGAAATTCAGCCAACAGGTCCCCATAGATTCGTTTTGGCTCATGGTGACTGGATCTTCGGAGAGAAAACCGAACGTTTCTAGCGCCATCTATTGGATGTTCTGTCCTTCGGAAGAGAGGTATCAAATCACCATAGAGCTGTGCTCGAAGCACGACTCTATTTCTCTATCGACATTCTGCGAAGTTCACAACTCGTGTCAGAAATTGAAATTTAATGATATAGCCAGTTGTCTGCATTGTTTACTCGTGAGCCAGGCTTCTTTCGGCGCTTTGCTACAGGAAGGACCGGAACTAAACTTAAGAATAACTATACACTAATGAAAATAATTAAATTATTGTACCTGTAAATGATTTTAAATATATGCTATGCTTTAAAAGGGGTTATGGACGTTTTAAAAGTAGGTTATAAACGAATTACGGCTCCTGCAAATTAGTTGTTTTTAAAAATGCTCTAAAGGTACCTCAAAACGTTGTAAACATCTTTTTAAAATACCTTGTATAAATAAAGGATTTAATGCGTAAATAAAAGAAATATTTATTGTGGAAATATAACCTAAATAATTCAAATTAAAGTTAACAAAAACTTATTTTTCAATTGGACTATACAATAAAAGCTGTCCAGCGACGGGGGACACTATTGGTAAGAATATTAAACACTTTATGATCTTTCCATCTACTTTGACAGTTCTATTACTTTTGCTTATATAGGAAGAAGTAGATATCAACTTTCTTATTTTAAATGGGAGACCACTATTTTTATTCCGGAGTTCGAAAAAAGTTTGTTGACATAAACTTAGTTTGTAAAATAGCGGTGATAAAAACAAAATCAATCTTCATATGCCTTTTTTCTAACTTTATTTATAAGAACAATCCCTTTACATTCCCCATCGATTTTCGTACAAGTTCGGTGAAGCATAATAATGTCTAACCTCTATGACCCTGACTGGTTCCCCACCGATTTGTATATAAAGCGAAAACCAAACGCCAATTACGGTTATTTATTTTCCCAAAGGAACAACCCGAATATCCTAAATTTTCACTTATTCACGTTTCAGAAGGGAGCCCATTGGAAAACCCGGAATTGGCGGAAAAGCGTCAGGATCGAAGATGTTCGGTGGGAAGGACCCCAGGAGAAAAATCGCGCACGCCAATATTAATGTCACCATCAGTTTATCTCGTTCAAAGTAGGGGAGCGGAATTCACAAATACTGTATCAATTAAGAGGGGGATACTAAATGGGTTAGGCAATTCATAGAATTTTAAGTTTGGTTTAATACAAATGCGAAGGGGTGAAATATAATACCAAAAAAAAATCAACGTATGGGCTGCTATTGTGAGAAATACAATAAAATTATTGGTTCATATTTTTTTAAAGAAAATATAACAAGCATTATGTGTCTGGATTTCCTACAAAATATGATTTTCCTGATTTAATCCATCTTTTTCCTAATTTTCAAATAGCAAAATCTGGTATCAATTATCACATTATACTCGAGGTGGGCAAAGTTTTTAAAAAGAACCTTTCCACATCGGTGGATAGGAAAAAGGAGAACAGTGGATTGGCCTGCTAAATCACCCATTAGACTTCTTTTGATGGGGTTATTTAAAATTTAAAGTCTATATTAACAGACTTCAAACTATCCGTAAGCTAAAGATCAAATCAATACCACATTATTTGAGAACTTTGATTTCCGTCTTCATTTATAAAGGTACTTTTAGACGGTCAGATCAGTTTCAGTCGAACTGTCAGTTATCTCTATGTGTAAACACAAAAAACTGTAAGAAAAACTGATACGGAGCTGTGGCTCGATGGGTATATCAAGTTATCGTATCAGTTGTCAGTTAAAGGGATGTAATTTCCAAACTGAATTGACAACTGTACTGAAACTGAGACTTACTTACTCTGAGACTGAGACTGAACGGAGAACTGATCTGACCGTCTAAAAGTACCACATACTTTGATTTTCTTTTACTATACGGAGAATGGTCGCACTTCGCAGCTTTCTGAGTGCCTTTTAAAAGGAGATAGAAAACTCCGCCATTTTGAACCCTTATTACGTGTTGCCTACATCTTGGCGCAATATTTTTAATAGGTGCGTTTTAATCATCCGCTTCTGCTTCGGAATTGTCGGTTTTCTTGTTTTAATCTGACAGGTTAGAACGACTGAACCGACAATTCTGGAAGCAGAAGCGGATGGTTAAAACGCATCTGATATTTTGCTTGCTGCTGTCAGTCAAAGTATGTGGTGTCCACATACTTTGATTTTCTTTTACTATACGGAGAAAGGTCGCACTGCGCAGCTTTCTGAGTGCCTTTTAAAAGGAGATAGGAAACTCCGCCATTTTGAACCCTTATTACGTGTTGCCTACATCTTGGCGCAATATTTTTAATAGGTGCGTTTTAATCATCCGCTTCTGCTTCGGAATTGTCAGTTTTCTTGTTTTAATCTGACAGGTTAAAACGACTAAACCGACAATTCCGGAAGCAGAAGCAGATGATTAAAACGCACCTGATATTTTGCTTGCTGCTGTCAGTGTCAGTGAATATTATTTTTGAAGTCACAGTTTATTGCTAAAGAATCAGTTAGCTCACTCGGACCAGTTGAAAGTTCCAAAATAACATCCACTCCAGGGATACAAATTCAGGATACGCAGAAGACTGCTGTTTTATTATAGGCGGTTGTCATATATTGTATTATCTGAGTTGCGCAGTGTATAAACTGGAACATTGAAATAAAAAGTGCCGACGCAGAGTGAGCGATCTGATTCTTTAGCTATAAACTGTGTCATAGGGTTCAAAATGGCCGCGCCCTATGTTGGGCGTGTCGGACCTCTCTCTTGCCCCGTATATTAATCAAAGTATGTGAAAAGTACCCTAAATCTGCGTGTGTGACATTGGTTTTTTTTTTGACCAGGGTTTTTGTCTATTATTCATCTAGGGTTTTGTTATTTTTTTGTTAAGAATGAAGTTTTTCATTTATAAATAAAACTATTACAATCTGGAATCTGGAAGAGTCTTAAAAAATCCTACTACAATTAAAATGCTGAGTAGTTTTTTGGTATGATGTTCCACTGTGTGGATAGTTTTTTCAATTAACTCTCCCAAAAGCTATCAAAACTCGTAGTTTGTCCCTTCGTTGGGTCCACTTAGGGTTATTAAGAGAAGAGATAAAAATGGTTGGACATAAAAGCGAGATTTATATTTCACATAAGATATGACAAGCAGTCATAAATAAAGGGTTTCTTTTTTAGATAAAATAGAAAAGTATAGACGTGACTGTACTACTAAAAATTTGAAGCTGGCAATAAAATGTTGAGATGAACCGAACGTGGAATTCGGATATCTTGCATATTATGTATAATTCAGATTTATAAGGAATTGTAAGTTGCAGAAATAGTTTTAATATTTAATCAAAAATACAAGGGTTTGTTTGTAAGGGTCGTGCGAAATCAATTAAAGTAGTTTTAAAAACAAGGAACTGTGAATCCCAGTAAGTCAAGTACAAATACAGGTTAGTTTCGCTGTTAAAAGCTTATTTTACCTGTCTACTTATTCAATATCCTCTTAATCAATAACCTTAATAAATTGAAAGGAGTTTCCTGTTCACAGAGAAAACTAAACTTACTGATGACGCCTTGAATCGGAATGTTTCTCGGGCGCCAGTTTTATTTATATAATTTGTTTCACAACTATTTGATGCAATACTGTAACTACCAAAGGGACTCAAATACCATCAGACATTAATGAGAAATATTCCAGGCGTTATATTATTGACTTAAATTTAAAAAAAGGTAGAGATAACAGGCTTTAGATCTTTATTTATAAACTCAATTAGAGTAGGATTTAGTTTTTGTTGTTAAATCATTTTATTTAATTTCCAGAGTTGGTTTAAATATTTTTTCACTTGTTTGAGAGTCAGAAGCACTACAATTTGTGTCGAATTTATGTTAGTATAAAAAAATCCGACATAGTTGTTTATTGCGTCGCTTTGAAAACACTTTAGTGTGTAAAGTGGCAGTTTACTCCTTTTTAAAAATGTACTAATCCAAATTTGCCCTTTTTAGCAGTAGGTACTAGAAAATTTTAAAAACACTCACATCATTTGCAATTTGAAGTCATCATGATCGAAAGATGATGCCGCAATATTGGATGACGCACCGGCTGCAGTGCCGCCCCCACTAGTTGTGGTAGTGGTTGTAGTAGTGGTTGTAGTGGTGGTGGTAGTGGTGGTAGTTTGCTCGATGAGCATTCGCTGTTCCGCTAGTTCTTTTTGTTCTCGTTCCCTTTCGGAGTGGCGCTGCTGTAAAAGATCGTTGTCGAGCTGACGAATCTCCCACTGTTCTCGCTGGGACCTGTGGTGCTCCTTGAAAAGGAATAAGGCTCTATTTATTGTTTTTCATTTTTAGTAGAGACTACCAATGAGACTAGTAACTGAATGTAATAATTTTTGGTTAGTTATGAATTGACTGAGCGACTTCCGCTTTTTATTTAAATTTCAAAATTCTGCTTTGAATATTAAGGAATTATTTTTTTTATATTTTATAAAAACGCTAGACTTAAAACATGAACATGAAACGTTTACCCCTAGTATCTACCCTGTATTTGAAAGTGAGATTGGTTTAAAATCCCATACCAATACGAAGCATTTAAATTTTCCTAGAAAATGCTGTGGCAAAATATGAAATTTACATTGAATATGTCTCGAGTGTTTTCATAATATACGTACGAAAAGCCATGTTGAAGTCATCTTGCCACTTAAGATTCGACACCGCGGGCTTTCCATATTTATTTTCCAGCGAATTAAAGTTGGACAAAGTGAAAACATCCTGACGACAGATTCAATTTAAACTAGACACGAAACTGTCGGGAAAACTGCCGTTTTTAGCCTCCCGTTAGAACGGGCGACTGCGGAAAACCCGAAATACTTTTCCGGAATGAAAACTCTGCCTGGGAGCTTATTGATACCGGCGACCGACAATCGACGTGCTTATTGACTTCCGAATTGAAAATAGTTAACTTCTTTTTTGTGCTTCGGGTCAGAAAAGAAAGGAATCTATTTACTATACATGTGGGCCAATGGGGGAAAACACTTCCAATATTGGCCATTACTTTTTTCGTTTTATATATATTTAACTGAAGTTGTAAAATTAAGAGCATGATTTTCGTTAGGAACAAAGCTACACCAAACAAAGTCGCTTTCATCACAGAGAAAACGTGTACAAACTTGGAATCACTAGGGCAAGAAGCTAATGCCATCACAAATTGTGTGTCATACTGTCAAAAATTTAAATTCAAAAGACGATAATAAAAAGGTCAGCATGGGGATCAATAAAAGTGTAAGTCTACCTTAATGGCTATGTCGTACTCCAATTGACGCTGTTCTTTGCTGGAAACCTTCCTTTCTTCCTCGAGGATCTTCTCCTTCTCCTTTTCTTTGTCCTTGGCACTGGTGGAGCTCCCCGCCGCCGTGGGGGGCGGGTACGAAATCCAAAACTGGTGGGCCAGTTTGAACCACGATACGGACAAACGAGCTTCAACACGAATCGCCTGTCTGTAACATAAAAAATGACATCATTATTTTTAGTAATTACAAGAGGATTTACATTGCAAAAATATCTGTATCTGTACGGTAGCAAAGAGTGAGTTGTTCTACATCACTTAGGCCTCACTAGGTTTACTGTGCATCCTGCGGGGAGATATAGAATCTGCATTTCAGCTCGTCAAAGTCTTGCATGTCAATAACGTTTTTTGAAGTGGTTAGTTAGTTGGTCTATATTACCCCGATGGCAAATGTCTCATATATTATGGTTAAGCGCTAGTCACATATAAAAAATTGTCTACGCCTAGCGGTGGCTTATCCAAGATATGAAACTTATAAATGATTTAAAGTTTGGAGTATAAAACTAATTTTTACCTCATTATCAATCATTTTAAACTAACGTGTCTATATAAACGATTATTTACACGAAATGATAACTATAAATCGCAGACTTTATATTTTCTTAGCACGAGATCGCCATAGATCACTTAAATCGACAGCAAATGTAATTTGTTTAAGTGCCAAGTAATTATTTTAGGTTTGACGAAGTGTTAAATACTTCATAATTTTCCAGCTCTGATATCGGCAAGTTTTAATATTTTAAGAAGCATGAACGAATCAATAACCGAACCTTTAATAATAATTAACTGTGAGAACGATGAACCGAACATTTCCGGATGATTTACTGACCTAGAAATTATTGTGTATTGTATGCTTACTAGATACATTTATATTTATTTATCGGGACGGTGGTGTAGCGGTCTATCGCGCTTATATTCATTTTTAGGCAAGTTTATGAGTCTGAGACTGCTGGGTTTCGAGTCCCAGACCGGACCATGTGGATTTTTAATTAAATTGCATGGTTCGGTTTAGGATTTGATGTGTGGCGTATTAATAGAAATTCAATTTCTGTTGATATGACATGCAGATTAAAAAAATTCGCCATACATTACCGTCTCGATGATGGTGGGTGAGGTTTTCCGGGTTTTCCTCACCTGTAAGTCAAATGGCACCATCAATCATCTTTAAGTCGCCCCGGAGCGCCACGGAAAATAATAATAGCCGTCCCTTCCCCTACACAAGTCGTTCAGTCGACTTCAGGGGTTGAAATTCACTCGTAAGGGGGTGAATTAGGGAGAGTATTATTATAAATGGAAGGAGTTACTATTACTAGGTGGCCTAACATACATTTCTTTTAAAACTTATCTATTGTAGGTGTAAATTGAATTCATTCATGTTAGGGGAGCAATATGTTGACCAAAAGTTGCTGATTTGCTGCAGTACAATATTAACAATAATAATGTTTATTTATCATTTTAATAAAATTATAATTTTTTTTAATTTAATAAACTAGCTCTGAATAAAATACTAAAATTGAATTTCTAGACAAACTGTTTGGCTATTAATTCTCGAATTATTAATGACGCAGTGATAAATGATTGGCCGCATCAACTAATCTCAAAAAATAAAAAATATCGCAATCCTCCTTTCTCTAAAGCGCCGCTCATTTTTAACCATACCTACCCATTATTTAGTGCTCTAAGTTTACTTCATAAAAGTCATCGTTCCAGAACAAGCTCTAAAAAGTGTAAAACGCATCTACTCGCTGTGAAGTTTTCCATAAAAAAGTCAACTAAATCCCCCCGATATGATCCGCTGTCTGCGTTTGGAGCCCTTCTGCTCATAAAACACACGACCTGAAATATTCAAATGGTCTAAAGCAGGGACGGTTTCTCCATTAGTTCATTTGTGTAGTGAACATTCAGTTACATTTCATAAAAACATATTATTTTAAAATAAATAACAAATATATTAATTCAATTTTAATAATTTTATTTTCATACGTATTAATATATACTTTTGTATACGCCACTGCGCTCTGGCTAATCGCGGTTCGGTGGCGCTCTTTTATGAGTGAGAAGCGTTCTCGAAAGTTCTTAATTAAAAAGAGATGTCACACGTAGTGAAACAAACATAAAATCACTTAAATCAGCTTAATTTGCGCAACGCACACAGTGACGTCACAAAGTAGGGCGGAGCATACAAACTTTCCAAACATTGATATAAAATAAAAAGGAAATGCTATGACGATACTAAAAGTGTCCGCACAGTTTTACGTCATATGTCAAACTCGAGCAAGTGGAGTTAGTCAGTTATTCCCAGCATTCTTCTGCCATCTTTTACATCCAGTTGCTATCTTTTCCTCGGTTTTCGCCGTCTCCATTGTGATAAGTCCTGCCCATTTTAGACTCTGTGCTTTTATGTGGGTTAATCTTCGATTTCTTTATTTTGTCTTAAATTTTGGTCTAGTATGACTCTTTCTTCTCTGCTATCTTTAGGTCTTATTCTATATTATTTTTTTGTTGCTATTTCGAAGGTGTATATTATTGTTGTAAATATGTATCTTAGTTTTTGGTGATGATTTTACTTCTATGTTTCTGCATTAGGCTTTGTTTCCTTTAAGGGTCCTTCCTTTTACTCGTTTAAAGATAGTTTCACTGTATTTTTAGATATTTCTATGTATTACTTTCCTGTCTTTCAAGTTGTCCAGTTTCTTCATGTATTTTAAACAAGTCAGTTGCACTTATTTATTAAAAAGAAGTATTTTATTTTTACGACAAATATTTTTATCTACATTCTTTGCACTATAACTCACCTTCTCATGTGCTAGTACATTAAGTGTCGACGACAGAGGGCGCTTCGAGCCTCGACACAGCCTGCAGTCTTAGTATCATCGGCATTGTAATAGGGAGTTCAACACAAAAGAAAAATTCAGGAATTTCCGCGCTCAAGTGTTATTTTAGACACCGACGTTATTTATAGGGCCATTCTGTGCGATGAAAGGCATATAACAGACGACGCGTTAGACATCAAGTAGGAAATGATGGAAACTGTTTCGGGTTCATACAGTGAGCGACACAAACAACGGTCTTAAAAAGAAGAAACAGAATAATAATAATAATAGTAATAATTAAACTGACATACTTTTTTTTAGAGCATATTGGTCTCTAAATTTAATAAAAATATTTAAAAGCGTTTCTATTTATGGCATATTTTTGGCAAAATTTCGAATTTTGTTTCTGGGGTAGAGCGTATTCGGTCGAGTATACTAATGCCCTGTAAAATAATCGGTTCCCCTACTTTCCGCACGACTTGGCAACGTTTTACACCTGTCGATTATCACCGTACCTATACATATAGGTGAGTTTACGTTAATCTCTTCGTACCTCCTGTTCTCCTGATTACAAGGTAGATGTGGTACCCACTTCTAAGGGTACCACCACCAGCGTGTGGTAGGGTAGGTACCGAAGTATTTATAAGGTACCTACCTGCATAGGTGCCTGCCTACCTATATGCAATTTTAGAATACCCTGACCGGTACTGTTTCGCGTAGCGGTACCCCACGACTCGAACCGAATGTAAACGAGACATCTCGAATCATTTCAGACAGCCCCATATTTTACTGTAATTTAAAAAAATGGAAAATAAAATATTTACGTATTTAAGGTGATTTTTCTCATTTAAAGGGATTACAAATAAATATACAGAAGCCATTTTAAACAGATTTCAAAAAAGAAGGAGGTTATCAATTCGTCGCGTTATTTTTTTTTATGTATGTTCAGCGATTATTCTTTAACACGGTGTCCGATTTCAATGATTCTTTTTTTGGTAGAAAGGGGGTACATCAGGGGTGGTCCCATATAAATTTAGTCAAAATCTAATAATTGGGTCCATGAGAAAATCCTCAAACTCTTCATTTTTTATGTATGTTTAGCGATACTGCTTTACCACCTTGTCCGATTTATATGATTCTTTTTTTGTTAGTAAGGGGGTACCTCAGGGATGGTCCCATATAAATTTGGTTAAGATGTGGTGATGGCATCTGCACGTTTTTGAAGTCGGTTTTTTTAAATTTTTAATTTCTAATACTTGTTTAGATGTTTAAAGTTTTATCCTATGTAAAATTCTGCAAATAAATGATTTTACTTGTTTTGATAACAACTCGATAATCGCACAACTTATATTATCTTTGATAATCGTCTTGTTTTACACAGGATGATAAATAAATTAACTCTTAATACGATTCTGTGTGTACTTGAAATTATTTTTAAAAAGCTTTTTGTTTTTGAAAACAAACATTAACAATAGCAACCACTCATTGAAGAGCAAGTAGCATTGGCTGCGTTCCATATTACATCATCAAAGATTGTATTTTAGTAAATTTATAGAGACAATATTATATAAATTACTTACCACGAGATTCGAGATTGCAAGATCAAATAGGGTGATTTTCATCCCCAAGGAGAAAATAGTCGCAGTCAAATATATCGGTTCCTAGACATAAAAATATATTTATTTTCTAGCCTAATAAAATTTGTAAAAGAGAACGACTTTACAAGGTCCAATAGGGCGTCAATCAACCCCCCAAAAGGGAAATTTCCGACTATTTAATATAAATCAAATATCTCCGCTCCTAAACATAGAAACATATTTTTTTTCAAGCATAAGTTAGATACAAATACAGATTTAAATTTGTTATATTAATGTCCTATAAATATTTGCCAATTTAAGGAATAAATGTGTTCATTAAATTCTTGTTTTGATTGCCAGAAGTAAATAATGTCCTTAATCCCTTCGAAGATCCCAGATTTAAATGGTGGTTAGGTAAAAAAACAAAAAGAAAAACTTTTCATTTAAGAAATTTCACACACCGAACTCAAAAAATTCGATATCACTGCTATAGGGTAAAATCTAAATGCAATGATTGCTTTTCTTTTTTTTTAAACTTATAGAAGTCCAACTGAGTATTTTTTTACGATCGGGTTCATCCAGAAATTGGCGAAGGAAAAATAAACTCTTAATTCCAACCCATATTCCTTGCGCCTCAAATTAATCAACGTCCCAACTATAGCATATAAATCACTGGGCGCTGAACAACAGCTGAATAAGGATATTTTCGGGTTACGAACAAAAAGACAAACAATAGAACAGAAAAAACCAGCTACGGTAAT